AGTCTTAATGGTGTATAAAATCCTAGAAAGAGGTACCCCAAGACTTTCCTTGTCACATGCTGACTTTGCTAGGCGTTCAGCACGATCATGCCTAGGGATTCGAACATGCGATGGAATTCACACAAAACGTGGCCTCGTTCTTTTACACGATACACGTTTATCCTGATGTCATTTTTGATATTTCCTGCACCTTTGTATAGAGTATTCAGAGCCTGAAGAGCACTCTGTGAATCGCAGAAAATTACCCTTGATTCAATAGCAATTCGGTGGCCATGAGTATTCCTGCCAACTCAGTTTGCTATCCCAGTCATGAACACTCCTACAATCCTGGTGCTGCAAAATATTGTTTTTATGTACAACAAAAGCGCATCCTGCTCTGTTCCCAGACTGCAAAGACCCTTATGCATTGGAGAGTTTCAAGATGCTTATTTATAATTGCAAGTGCATACTGCTTAAGTATAGAAGGGTGGACAATATCGTTTTTTGGGGCAGTCGTATAATATACACTTAGGTCCGACATTTTCCTTTGAACTGTGCACAGACAGGAGATCAAGTATTTAGTTTAGGTAAAGGAATGGTTAAGCTTTTAGTCCAGGAGCTTGGGAGGATTCCTTGTGATAGGGCGAGTCTATACAGGTGCAAACGCGGGTTTCCTGGTATCTGAGCAATGAAGAAGCACGCTGTAAGAAATGCCATCCTCGCCAGAGGAGGTCGCCTTCTCTGTCAGAAGAGCATTATTCAATTTCCACTCGGTTATTTCGGCAAAGTCGATGGGGTCAGTAGCAACACAAACTACTGGTATTAATGAATTAATTTTATTATTATTTCTTTTTTATCTTTCGACTTGTTGAATTATTCTTTTATTCCTTGTGGAAGTGAGTTCAACTGAGAATTCCCGACCCACTGTTCTAGCAGCATACTAGCCTGCTCTCACAAACTGCGGTATCGTGAGAAATTTACCTGTCAGACTATCATTTTTTTCTACATACGTAAGCTACAAAGGTTTGTCTGTTGATACTTTGCAAGAATTGTGCCCAGTGTTTACTACGAATTTGAGTTTTTAATTCTCTGAATTCTTTGTTGGCTATTGGAGAAAGTAAGTGAACTTTGGCTGCCCCTAACCGTAGACTTGTGCAATCAAAAATCCCACAAAATAATATCGTGAAATCTAGCTTTAAATTAATTTTATTTATCCCCGTGGGGGAATTGCACAAACATTGGCATGCTTTGACTCTGGATTTATGGTTAAAACATTATAATACCACACTATATTAAAATTTATGATATAGCATCAACATATTGCTTAATTACTTAATAAAGGGACCATGTCTGTGAGATAATGGCACACCAGATCATACAGACGGACAGACAAGCAGTCAGACAGAAGAAAGATATGAAAATAGATAAATATTTAGATAAATACATAGATAGCTATCATATACATGTATACACACATATACACACACGTATTCATATACATATATATTTACATGAAATAGTATATAAGTATATATATATATATATATATATATATATATATATATATATATATATATATATATATATGTGTATATATATATACATATATATATATATATATATATATATATATATATATATATATATATATATATATATATATATATATATATATATATGTATACACACACACACACACACACACACACACACACACACATATATATATATATATATATATATATATATATATATATATATATATATATATATATATATATATATACACACACACACACACACACACACACACATATATGTATATATATACATATATATATATATGTATATATATATATATATATATATATATATATATATATATATATATATATATATATATACATATATATATATGCATACACACACACACACACACACACACATATATATATGTATATATATATATATATATATATATATATATATATATATATATATATATATATATATATATATATACACATATATATGAATATATACACACACACACACACACACACACACACACACACACATATGTATATATATACATATATATATATATATATATATATATATATATATTTATATATATATATATATATATATAAATATATATATATATATACATATATATATATGAATACACACACACACACACACACACACACACACACACATATATATATATATGTATATATATATATATATATATATATATATATATATATATATATATATATATATATATATATATAAACATATATTTTCACTAATAACAACGGTATTGAAGAGGACATAAACCAAGTCGATGGTCGGAAGAAAAAAATAAATCCAGACTTCTTGCCAAGGTCAAATCTGGCCTGAGAGGTCAGTGTTGAGGGCCAGATGGTTTTCGAATGACACCAACTTCCTATTTCGTTTCCGATGCGGGTCAGATAGGGGTAGGGGGAGGGGGGCGGGGGTTAAGGGTCTGGGTAAAAGATCGAACCTGAATTTCAGGTCAGGACACGGCTGCCATGACTTGAGCCCTTGATTCTCTTTGTCCATCTCTGCCTGTCTGCTTTAACCTTTTGTTTTTTCTCTCTCTCTTTCCTAAAAATGTTCAGGTATATATATATATATATATATATATATATATATATATATATATATATATATATATATATATATATATACATATATATATATAAATATATATATATATATATATATATATATATATATACATATATATATATATACATATATATATATATACATATATATATATATAAATATATATATGTGTATGTGTGTGTGTGT